TCAGTGCTGCCAAGGTAGCACGACAGTGTTCGTGAGACGTGGGAGAAGAGACTAGACCAGGATTCCCGGGCTTTGTCCGGTTGGTATCAGCACAGACACCCACTCATGCCAGATGTAGGCCTCTGAGGTCCCCAGGCTGTGACTCCCCAACCCTGCTTGCTCTTGAAGGTCATGGTGTGGTGCCACAGTGCCAGAGTGGAACTCGAAGCCAGTGCACTAATATAATAATGGGAAGAAGGAATTAAAAACAGCCATTGGTGCATTTTTATGTGGGTTTTTTTTTTTTTTTTTTTTGAGTTGAGCGGACTGTAAGCCAGAGGAAGCTGCTTGGAGGACCATTTGGCCCATGTTTTTTGGGCCCGTCTCCCCACTGTGTGCATTCTGGGTGCCCAGCGCTCGCTCCGCCAAGAAGCAGGCATGGGAAGCCAACTGTTCCAACTGGACTCCTTCAGGACTTGGCATCCTTAGCAGAGTCCCTGAGGGGAGGGGTCGAGGGATCTCATCTCTGCTGTGCAGCCAAAGGAGACGAAAATATCTCAGGGCTACCAGTTGAGTCGGCTTCCGTGCACGCCCATCTTCACGTCCTCTGTTCCTGCTTTTGAAAACCTTTGTTTTCTCAGATGTGCCAACTTCAGTAGTTGATACTTTCACACATCACCTATTTTTTCTAGATTCAAATTTATTGACTCCAAATGATTTCTAGCATTTTCTTCTCATTTTTAATCCTGTGAGTGCCTGTGTGTATGTTCCTTCCTCACTCCTGATGCTGGTCGGGATGTTGACTCTTTGCCCATCCCTTGAAGACTTCCCGGAGCTCCCATGTCTACATCCTAGAAGTTTTGCAGCCTCCATGGCTGTGTATATTCTGCTTTCTCCAGTTCTGTATTTTGCCTTTTTTAATTTAGATTCTTGGTCAACTATATTTTTTATGTTTTAAGATAATTTTAAATGAATGACCTATTATGCCAATACCTTTTATCAAGCAAACTCGCTTTTCCCTACTGAGTTAAAATGCTATTTTGATATACTAAGTTCTCATATATTACTAGTTCAATTTCTGAAACTACTCTATCCCATGGATCTCTTAATCTATTTTTAAGACATTCCCTTAGTAATTCAATTATAGCATCTTGATAGTAAGTTCAATACCGTTAAGCCCGTCATTATTCCTAATGTTACTCTATTTCATTTTCTGTGTAATTCTTATACATATATGATTCCATTAAGTCCATTAATTTTATCCGGTTCCTTCTACTCTGTTAGGATTCTGATGGGATTACCAGTGTGTAGTTGCATTGCTTGAAAGACTGATATTTTTTAGAATAGTGAAGCCTCCCATTTAAGCAGGTCATCTACCACCACTGATTTAAGCTGTATGTATCTGTCAGTATTCTGAGCTGTGGAGAAACCTTTTCAAGTAGTTTTCACCTACAAGGGATTATTATAGGAAAGCTCAGAAAGCTCAGAGACTCCAGCATGTCAGAAACCAAGGTAGGAAATTACAAAACCAGGAAAGCAATGAGGGCACAAACTGTATCGAAGAACTGCATAGAGGAAGACCCTGGCATCATCCCCGGGGCCATGACCCAGCATTGACATATTGCTGGCCCCACAGACCCCTGAGCTCGGGACACTGCCTGCACAACCTCAATTCCTGTCCACTGCACCCACTGCCAAATGGCATCTGTCGGTATGTGCCTGCCTCTGTGTCCCAGTTCTTGCCTAAGGGCTGGCTTGGAGCCTGAGTTACCTGTGTGCCCCCTTGGGCAAGGCAGGCTGGAGAAGCATTTCTGGTGAAGGTGGAAGGTAAGTAAGGTGGAGATTCCCCAAACTGAGGAGGACTCAATGGTAGTGGCTCCAGGCTAAGCATGACCCACATCTGTAATACTGGAGTATGGGCCATTTAATAACATTTTACACATAACTTCTCAAAGGTCATTTAATATTCATGTTTAATTTCTTTCTAAGTAGTTTCTGTTTGTTATTGTTAATTTGAATGTATTTTGTTGCCATTTTGTTTTTAATTGGTTATTACATTCTATTTATACAATAAGTATAACAAAAGTTCTTAATTCCAGTAATTTTTAGTATATTTCTTAGGGCTTGTTTTTTTTTTTTTTAAAGATACTTAATCATGTCATTTTAAAGAAAAGATGTTTCTGCCTTTTCCAAATATTTACACAGCTTACAATATTTTCTAATCTTAATGCATTAGCTAAAGTTGCTGAAACAATGTGGAATTGTGTTGATGGTCATGAAGAGCAGCTGTCTCATTCTTGAAACAGTAGAATTGGCTTCAGTATTTGTCTACTTAAGATGATGCTTGCTTTTAATCTGAGATAAAAATTTTATCAGGGTTACGTAGCTTTATTCTTAATTAACACAAGAGTTTTTATTATGAATTCCTGCTAAATTTTATATAAGTGCTTTATGATATCTATTTATAGGATCATATGATTTTTCTTTTTTAGTTGATGGAGAAATTATTTCCGTAAATCCACCTGTTCTTCTCCACACTGTGTCTCTGGTGAAACCTCTCACCCACCCCCCGTCTCTAGCCTGTACCCCAGTTCTTCTACATTAAAATAAATAAATAAATAATCTTTAAAAAAATTTCGGATTCTAGAATAGAGTTCTATTCCATTTCTAAAATAAACCTTGGGAACTGAATTATCCCTGGAGTCAATAGATGGAAGTTTTCAAGCCTGACACCCATTTTAGATTGCTGACCCCTGAATTGACTGATAATGAATTTGTACATACACACACACACACCCCTCCCTCCCTTAGGTATTTGACAGGGTAAAGTAGGGAAAGGGTAAGGTAGGAAGTACAAACAACTCAATCCACGATACTTAACAATGTTTTATTTCTCCCTTGTGCTGCATGTCCTTCAAAAATGCCTTGAGGGGCTGCTGCTCAGCCAGGCCCGGGGCTGGATGGATCGGAGCACATGTCTTTACCACCGAGGCTGCTAATAAGCTTCTAGGTTCAGTCTCCAGGTCCTGGACGTGTCTTCTGGAGATGTCTCTGAGTCACAGCCAACTCTGAGGGAAGGGCATCCAGAGACAGAGTCAGCAGCGATGACATTTGAGCACCTGGCTGCTACCGTGCATGGATGCCAAGCACTGAACGCCTCAGTTTTATGAATCAATAAATTCCCTTATTAGTTTGCATTTGAGAGCACTTTTTAATATAGCCATAGAGTAAAATTTAAGATAGTATTGCATTCAACTTTCTTATAATCTTGATTTTAAAAAATTTTATTAAAAGGAGAAATAAACCTTTTGGTTTTGGGGTGGGAGGGTAGAATCTTTTTCAGATTTGCTAAGTTATGCTAGATTTATAAAGATAATTGGATAATTCTTTGTCTAAACTTTGAAATTGTTTTAAGAAAACAGCCATTATCTTTTCATTAAAGGTCAAAGCAAAGTCAGCTTGAAGAACCATTTTGGACTTTCTAATCTCCTTTATGGTTATTGATCTTTAAGGTTTACTGCATTTTTTGAATTGTTTAATAGTTTATATTTTTGCTAGGAAATTACCCATGTCCTCTAGATTTTTTAATTTATGACTGTAGAGCTACATGTACTCTCTCACTCTTGACTGTATTTAGAGTTAGGTCTCCTTTCTTATTCTAACCTCATTTGCTTTGACTTTCTCTAAAAACAAAAACAAAAACAAAAATCAGCCCTAGCAGGGGTTTGCTTAGTATATTGGTCTATTCAAAATCATCTCTAGCCTTCATCCTATTTATCTTTATTATAATTTGATTTCACTTTTTATGCTTGTTAAATTTGTTTTTCTATTAACTTGTTTTGTTCTGCTCTGAATTTGTTTTGTATTTCATTCGTTTTCAAGCAAGTGCATCCATTTTCACCTATTCTGTTGAGATAAAATATAAAGTGCCAAAGATAAAAACATAGAGCCTAGCAATTTATTGCCTGCCAATATCCATGTCATCTCTACCCAAGTCTAGAACCAGAGCCCCCTTCAGCACCCAGGAGCCCCTCCTCATGCCTCTCAGCTCACTGCCTCTCTGTCCCCACTGCAGAGAATCATCATCCTACTTTTTATGGTTTTCACATCTTTTATTTTTTAAATAATTGTGCATATTATGCACACATCTCTGAACACTATAATTTAATTTTGCCAATTTTTTAATTTGAACTTCATTTAAATAGAAACATCCTATATTTCTTCTTTTGTGTCTGGTGTATGTCCAACACCACAATGTACAATTTATTCACACTGTCTATGTAGTAGTAGCTCATTCATGTTCATGGTTTCATAATAGCACATGGTTTGAATGTAATGCTGTTCATCCACTGTTGAATGGATGTCAGCCTGTGAGAGGCTATTTTGAGTAATATTGCTATGAATGTTCTAGCACATGTTTTTTGTTGCCATCGCGTGTGTTTCTATTGCATATATTCATAGAATTGGAATATCTTTCCATGGTTCTTAATTTTCCAAGTTATTTTAATTTGTTCAGCATTTATGATGCCTACAACTCTTAGGCCTTGTGAATACTGGATGGTAAATGTGACTGTCCTTGGGGAGCCCACAGGACACAAGCTCTGCCCAGTGGAAAAACAAAAAGCTCTAGGGAGAGAAGCGAGACAAGGCCTCAAGGATGGAGCTGGAGTCTTGTCGAGTGCATAGGAGTTTGCTAAGCCCTAAAGTGAGACAGGAAATTGCAGATCTTGGGGACAGACTGTGCCACAGCACAGAGCTATGAAAACACGTCACTATCCTCACAGTCTAGGTTTCTCCAAATTTTTAATTTTTATCATTAATTGCTTTAAAGGGGGAATTTGAAGTAATTGCTAGTGATGTTTTGCATGGCTTTTGTCAATAAAAACTTGTTGCTTTATTACTTAAAGAAAACCAAAGCAGGAGGCTTTGAACAGAGCTTTGTTCTTGCCATGTAGCTCAAGCGTCCCTGCTGGGCAGAATGCCGTGTTAATGGTGAGATCTGTCTGTGTTCCTCTATCTAGATTAAGTTTGACAGTGTCGAGGTGTGTGTCTGCTGTGAAATGCAGCACCAGTCGTCTGGCTGCAGCAACCTGGGGGAGACGCTGAAGCTGAACCCGCTGCAGGAGGACTGCAATGCTGTGAGGCTGACCTTGAAGGTGACAGCGCGACCTGCTCGTTCGTGATTTCATCCCATGCATGACCGACATTTAAGGAAGATTTTATTAATGCATGTATCCTTTCGGTTCCTAAGTCATCTTGGGAGCTTAAATGCAAAAGGAAATGAATGTCTTTCCCGAGAACATTTTAAAGGACTGTAGACGTTCACTAGAAGGTTTTGCTTTCTGGATGCCTGTTTCATTTTACCATTTCACTCTCTTCTCCTGCCTCTGACATCTGTGAAGTGGGATAGGAATGGTTGAAAAGGGGCTTCACAAATGTGGATGTGATGCATTCTACTGCTTTTTTGCTGTTACACCATCAGGGAACAGATGGGTATTTATTTTGCCTTTTTAAAGATATTTGGAAAAAGAAATTTTTTGTCTCCCATGGCAATCTATTCTGTGTACAGCTTCTGAGGTTTTAAAAGGTGACATGGAAAAATTGTTTCTATTAGTCCTTTCTTTTACTCCCTGCAAGTATTTTTGTTCTCTCCAAAACCAAAATTGGCTGCTTAAAAATGCATATAAGCAATGAACTCAATTCTCCTCTTTCCCTGAATAAAAGTGTGCTGAGACTTACTTTGAAGAACATGGCCATGGTCGCAGGAACCCTTGGTTGGCGGTGAAGCTGCATTTACAGCGTGTGCGGAGCTTGGCTCTGTGTGTGAGGGAACACACAACTCGGGGAACTGGAGATTCCTGGGAGAGTCCCCCGGGGGAGGAGGAGGAAAGTCTTGCCCTCTGGAGTTGGGTGTTTATGACCAGTCCTCTGCGGGCGTCATCGTGCGTGCCAGCAGGAGTAACCCTGGCTCGGCAGACTTTCCAGGAACTCCCTCGCCCTGTGGAAATGGTTGGCAAACAAGCAGGGAGGAAGGTCCCAGGGTCAGTGGTCCCAGTAGCCCCAGAGTGATAGATCCAGGGGAGGAAGCCAGATGGCGCCCTTGGGGACCCGGCCTCTTCTGTGCATGGCGTTTCTCGCCAACCCTCATTACAGGTGACCAGGGGTCCATCTCTGCATCCTGGAGTCAGCTCAGGCCCATTGGCCCTCCACAGCCCTCCTGGGATGGGGATGTGGGCCGCCATTGCTGATGCTGAGATCTCATTCTGACAACTCCCACATCATCTCCTGTATACCAGGGTGTCTTTTCTTTCCATATTTAAAGGACACAACAGGACATTGGGCAAAGAGAACAACATTGCCACCACCACCCACAAAAAGAGCCGGTGGTCCAGGTCAGGCTGACCGATCTGCTGGCTGCTGGAGGGCGGGGTTGCCCATGAGCAGCCAGGTCGCTGCTCACTCCTTGGTGAAGAGGTTGGGCAGTTTGACCTGCTCCCCCTGGGTACTGGAGTTCTTGACACCTGCTCTCAGTGGGATCCTTCCAGGATCCATTTTCTGGAACCTCTAGCTCCTGAGCAAGTGGCTGTGCCTGGAAAGGTGATGATGGTGTGGGCACAGCAGTGTTCTCTCTACCAGGCTGCCAGGCACAGGGGGAGCTGCTGGGCTCACAGTCCCCTCTTGGGCTCACCACTCCTAACCCCTGGTTAGTGCCCCACAAGAAGACCCCTCAGGATGGGGCAGGTCAAATGGAATGTGAGGGGTACTGAGGAGAGTCTTGGTATGTGTGTGCTGCATTTCTTTGGACTCAGTAGTGTTTCCTTTTTTTCCCAGTAGTTATATGGTGTTTAGTATAAACATCTTAACATATCTGATAATATGTATGCTTAGAATATTTCACGTTTGCTGGTGCTATTTTAATGGCATCTAAACATTTTTAGTTGTCTCCTGTTCATTGCTAGTGTATAGATACTTGGTTTTTGTTACTGATCTTACATCTTGTGATCTTACTAAATCACTTCTTAGTTCCAGTAGCCCCTTAATAGGTTATTTTGGATCTTCTACTTAGACGGTTGTGTGATGTGCAAGGAGAGGCAGTTTTACATATTCCTCTGCGATCTGGATGCTTCCTCTTTCCTCCCTTGCTTATTGCACTGACAAGAGCCTGCAGGACAGGGTTGAATAGAAGTGGCAACAGGGCCTCCCCGGTGGCGCAGTGGGTTGAGTGCCACGCTGTGAAGCTGTCCACAGCCTCTGCAATGCGGGTTAGATTCCAGCCATCCAGGGAACTACCCACATGGCACAGCAGACCTCTCCTGCCTTGCCCGCTGCTCCCCTCAGCAGTGTATTTCAGTCAGTCTGCCTGTTCTGCTCCCCGCTCTGTCTCTGGTGAATCCTCTCACCCTCCCGTGCCTCTGACTGTACTCCAGTTCTTGTATGCATGAATAAATAAATCTTAAAAAAAAAAAAAAAGAAGAAGAAGTGGCGACAGCATAGGTCTTTGCCTTGTTCCCAGTTTTAGGAATTAAATGACATTTTCACTCTAATTTTTTTGTAGATGCCATTATTGAGCGTGGTGCAAGTTTGCTCCTATTTATAGTTTCCGACAGTTTTTAGCATGAATGGATGTCATTCATTGTCTGCATCTACTTAGATGTCCTTTTGCGCTTTCTTCTTTAGTCTTCTGAGGCGGTGAGCAGCACAGGTGGACTCTGGAGTGGTGACCAGCCCTGTGTTCCCAAGATATAGCCCACGTGGTCTTTTATTCATTAGCTTTCATGAGGCTGTGGATGACCTTGTCAGCGACGTTTCTGTGACTGTGCTTTTTATTTCTGACATTTCCATTTGATCTTCCTTATCACGCCCGTCCCTTTGCTAAATTACTTCTAGGATCTTCTTCCCACTTGAGCTGTTGTCCGACAACATCTGCTCCAGGGAGGCCGGGGCCCCACACTCTGGAGGTGTCTCTCTTTCCTTCGAATTTGGGAGAGTCGGTTCCCCTGCCAACTCAGCTGCCTCATGAGTTCAATTTAAGTGGTGAATCTGCAGTGTCTGATGACTTGTTGCTGTAATGATGGGAGCAGTGCTCTTTTTAGCTTTCTGCATCCTAAGCAGAACCTAGATTCATTATCCATAATGACAATTTCTGCCCCGCGTGTAGAAGTCTTGAAGAACACATTTTTTTCCCCTTAGAGGTGTGTAGCTAGCATGCCATTCTCTTTTGGCATCAAGTGTTGTTATAGAAAAAAATCTTAGTCAGCCTAATGTTCTCTCCCTTTTTGGTATGTGGTGGTCAATGACGCTATTTAAACGTATTTCTAGTGAAATAATACTCAGCTTTTTTTAAAAAAGGAAAGAAATCTTGCCATTTGCAACAGTATGCATGGACCAGAGGGGATTATGCTTAGTAATATGTCAAACAGAGAAAGACAAATGCAATATGATTTCACTTGTATATGGCACATAAAGAAACAAAATGAATGAATGAACTAAATAAAACAAAATCAAACTTTCAGACTCCAGGCCTAGTTTAGTGGTTACCAGAAGGGAGGACGGAGGGGTGGGGTGTGGCTAAATCAGGTAACAGGGGTCAACTGAACAAAATGTATCAGTAGAAGACACAGATACAGATGTCTCTACCTGTTAATTACAGTGGAGCTTTCATTGTGTTTTATACCTTTTTTTGACCTTTGCAGATTCCTATCTGAATCCTAACTCTTATTATTAACTTTATACTCTATTAAATTATTATTATTAGCATAATTAAGATTTTTGTACTCCTTTATCATAAATGTAGTTTCTTCTTCCCACGAGGGTCACCGAGATCTCAGTGTCACCTACTCCACTGTTCTCATAATTAGTGGTGTGGCCATTTGTAATATAATCATTGCTCTTACAGTCCCTTGAGTCCAGCTGTGCTGATGACTGGCCTGCAGTGAAGGGGTCTTCAGGGGGATCCTTTTGCTGCTTCATGGCTTTAAACTCTCCAGTGCCCTCAGGGAAAAGGCTGCTCTGCTCCTCCCTAGGGTGGTTTTCCATGGGCTCCTCTCCCTACAGCTAGCAACTGTTTTTAAACTTAGCAAAAGAAGCGGCACAGGAAAATGTTGCTTTGGTTGGTTTTCCTTGCTGGTTCTTTTTTGGCCATTAATTAGAGTGAGTTCATAGGTCTCTTAATAGTCTAATTTGAGCCTCTGGTTATCTGATTAGTAATACTCTATGCCTAAATTTCCATATTACACTATGGATTATCCATACTTTGCTCTAATGAGTTCAGTTTATGCTGAGGAAATCCTATGTAATTGGTTTGGGAATCAAAGTACCTTTGATTTTTAGTTCTGTTTGAATTAACTGACTTCATGAGATTGTTCAAACTACTTACTTATCATTAGGCCACCCTCCATCTCTGCTTCCCCACCCTCACCCACCAATAACCTGAAAGGTTATACGCACACCCCTCATCAAGGCGATAATAAGGGGTCTCTGTGGAATCCGGAAGATGAGGGCACTGCTCTGCTGCTGCTTGAGATTGTTTTAGGTGTTTTGGAGACAAGCCCCCTTGCCTTTGATCTCATTTCCACCTTTCCTAACCACCCCTACCCCTGGATTTCCTGTCCCCTGGGGCAAACAAGCCTCTCCTTCCAGGGTACAGATAGTCTCTATAGCATAATTCCTCATTTGCTGCTCCTCCCTGGCAGGGATGAGGGTAAAAGCAAAGAACACGGCAGGATCTGGAACTCCATCTTGCCAAGAAGTGATTCCCAGAATAACAGAGTAAGAGGGATGGAGGGGCCTGTGCCCCATCCGATTGTGTGGGTGAGAGGGCAGCAGCCAAGAGAGAGGTCAGGTGGCTCCTGCAAGGCCCCTAAGCAAGTCCATGGGGTCAGCAGGACTCGTCTAGGGCCTCAGCCTCTAGGAATCAAATCTCCATTTCTTAGTGATGGGACCTGGCTCTGGGCGCTTGGCATTAATTATAAAGATAGGCATCTAAGAATTAGAATTTCGTCATATCCTTTCCCAAAGCACTGGCCAGTGATGGCCAATTGCTAGCAGAAGATCCCATCCCCACCCCCCACCCCTCCCAAAATAGGTCTGGGCTTTTGTAAAGCAAAATGATAGATTAGGAGTTAAAAAGATAAATTGGTAGTGGAATGGCTATATT